GTTATCAATCAAGTACATTATTTTGATAATGAAAATTTGGCACTTTTTATATGGTACTTATTAAGGAAATTAAGTAACAAAAATGTTTAATACTAACGTTTGACTAACAGATTTTTAAAATTTTTAAATTAATAATCTATTTTTGCGACAGTCTCTTATGTAGTTCAGGCTGGTCTTGAACTCACTTTGTAGTCCAGGCTGATCTCAAACTTGAGGTGATCCTTCTGCCTCAGCCTCCCAAGTGCTTGGATTACAGGGATGTACTATCATTCCTAGTATAGCAGACTTTTTTGGGCTTATATTATAGCTTATGTGAATTAAGAAAACAATTTTTGAAATAGTGGTAGTTTTTTAGAAAAATTACAAATGTGGTACAAAAAACTTTTTAAATTCTTGAACGATTGGAGAATAAGTTACTAACAAGACCTCACATTATTCAAAATGTGGTTTTTGTTTTGCAGACAAAAATATTCTGCTACGTATCTGAAATAAAGTCATCAGAATCAGGAAATCAGCATACCAGCTTATCTTAGGCCCCTTTGCAGTTTTGCTGGTCCCTCTTTTTTCTCTCTCTTTCCTTTTCTTGAACTCTTTCTCTCCCCTCCCTTCCTTTTTTGCCTCCTCTTTCCTTTTCTCCCTCTTTTTTCTCTCTCTTTCCTTTTCTTGTCTCTTTCTCTCCCCTCCCTTTGTTTTTTTGCCTCCTCTTTCCTTTTCTCTCCCTGCCTTTTTCTTGTGTTAGGGATTGAACCCAGGGCCTTTGCACAGAGAGCTTCAACGCCAGCCCTTTTTTATTTTGTGACAGGGTCTCAGTGAATTGCTAAATTGCCCAGCCGAGGCTCACACCTGCAGTAGGCACTCACTGCCCACTTGGGTGTCAGTCTTTCTAATAATTGTCATTGGAAAATGACCTGTTTTAGAATTGCATATTGTGTTACCTTATTTTGTACTGTATTATTTTAAGTTCCATTGTTTGGTTATCTTTATTCTCCTTCAATCTGGACAGCTCCTTAGTTTTTCCTCTAATGGAATGTGTGTAGGTGTTTTTGGTGGTGCTGAGGCTTGAACTCAGCAGCTCATGCATGTGAGGCAAACACCCTGCCACTTGAGCTGCGTCTTCAGCTCCTTTGTTAGGGATTAGAAACTAGTGGTCAAATTAATGCCAGCTAAATTAAATCAGCATGGTGCTGAGCATAGATGTTCCACCTGAGGAAAGTTGCCAGCATAAATAGGGACGTGAAGGAGAAGCGAGGCGTTGGGTTCACCTACATGTTGCTGTTTGAGCCGTTGCTTCTCCTGGAGGAGCTCGTCATGACTAGCCTCCCCAGTGTGAGTTCGACCATTGTCATCAGAGGAGCTCGGGACCTTGTTGGTGAGAGTGGCTGTGGTTCACTTTGAGGAAGCTCTGGTCCTTATATCGAGTGTCACTTCCTGGCTCTGGAGGGAAAGATATGTACTGTTTAATCTCCAGGACAAACTGCTGGCTTTCTGGCATGTACTCAACTGTTCTTATCATTGGAGGAGCTCAGTACCTCTGTGTTGCTGAGGATGGCTGTGGTGCTTTTCAGCCCTGGCTCTTTATTATGAGTGTGACTTAGCTCCAGTGTAGAACCCTCAACCTACCGGCACAATTCTTCACAACCGCCACCCCTCCCCCTGCCGCCCCCAGACTTTCTGGCTTCCATGATTGACCTTTGGGCCTTGCTAGCACGGATCGGTAAAACAGACTGGTGTGAGTCCTTGTGGGGTCTAGACTACCTGTTGGACTCCTGGGAGGCATTGTCGTTGGCTCTGGGTTTTCATCTGGACTTATGTAGGACATTGCCATGAGATTCAAGCCCTTAACTGAATATTCTATGTCTTTAATGTTGTGTATAGATTTCCTGCACTTTCTTGTGTTAACCTTGATTGACCATCATAAATAATATAAATTCTGTGTCTAATTGTTCTCACAACCCCTGACTACATCATCCATGATATATTTTTAAAAGTGTGTAATTCATTTTTTTAAAAAATAAATTTACAGAGTTGTGCAGTGCTCACCATATTCTAATATAAGAATGTTTTCACCATTCCGTCAGAAACTTGTCTATTTAATTACCTATTCTTATTTGTCAATCACTAATGTGTCCTTTTTTGTGTAGGTATTTTTTTCCTGAACATTTTATGTAACTAGAACTATGGGAACTCTTGCACTAGATTCTTTAACTTAGCATAATGTTTTGAGGTTGGGTACATACACCTTGTTACTTTTTATTGCCAAATAATATTTCACTGTTTGGACATACCACATGTGTTTATCCATTTGATGGACATTTGGATTGTGTCCACATTTCTGAGACTCAGCTTTTATAAGCTGTCTAACCAGTATGATCTTGACAATTCTGAATATTATGGACTTGCTATTTTGTTTACACTTTTTTTTTCTCTTTTTATCGGTACCGGGGATCGAACTCACGACTGCCTGCTTGTGAGGCAGGCGCTTATGCCGCTGAGCTAAATCCCCAGCCTCTTCCCTTAGTTACTAAGTATATCCTTTTCTTCATCATACTTTCAAATTATGTAAGTATGGACTTGAGCTTATATTTTAGTGGACTGTATTTCACTTAAATATTGCTGAGTACACACCACCTCAAAATTTAGACTAATATTTTGTTCAGAAGGTTTATTCATTTTGTGGGTAAGACATTCAGACAGACTTTGGGAGCTGGCTTATCTTTGTGCATTGTGGAGGGAGTGGGAGACAGCAGTGACTTGGGAGCTGGGACTGGAAACTTCTCAGAACATGTCTTCTCTGTGCTGGCTGATGTGGAACCCTGAAGTGACCTATTTGTTCCTGTGTTTTCTTAGAAACATAGTATCTGGATTCCACTTGTGGTCTTCCTGAAATGTGTGGTATGTCTCCCTTCACACTGTATTGGTTAGGCAGCCACAAAGCTCTGTTCAGCATTAAAGAGGAGGAGGGGGTTTAGATGTTCTTTCTGGGAGAAGTATCAGGCTCCTCTTGTAAGAAGAACATGAGCAATAGGGGACACTTTGTGTGTTTTTAGGAAACTCAGTGTGCCATAGATTTACTGATCTCCATTGTTCTGGCTTTGGCCTGTGGGGGCCTCCATGCTGATTTCTTTTGTACTTTTGACATGTCTCATCATTCTCTGAGCCACTGTATTACTTTCTGGCTATAAAAAACCCATCTTACCTTTATTCTGTTCCAGCCCAAGTTTTTTTTTTCCTTGGACTGGATCTTGCGATGTATGTAGTTCAGGCTTGCCTTGAACTTGTAGCAGTCCCCCTGCTTCAACCTTCTGAATGTTGGGATTCCAGGTGTATGCCATCATGCCTGACTCAGCCCAAGTTCTTTTTAATAGAAAGTAGTATTCAGAATTTGAAATGAGAGCTCTATCTCTGTGTGCCAACTGCAGCTTCCAGACTCTCTCTGGGACTTGGCTATGTATACACACACTTCTCACAATGCTTTTATTTATTTATTGTGGTGGTGCTAGGAATTGAACCCAGGACTTTCACACTGAGCAAATACATCCTCTTCCCATCGCCCTTTTGAAATACTTTATTTTGGAACAGTTTTTTGCTAAGTCCCTCAAGTTAGCCATCTTTCTGCCTCGGCCTCCCAGAAAGCTGGTATTACAATCATGTACCACCACCTCTAGTGATTTTTATATCCATCTGTTGAAAACGATGAACTCGTCAATGTCTCCTAATCTGGTCAGGTATTCCTTTTTAGATATATTAAAAATAACTTTATTGAGATCCATTTATAATGTACAGTTTGATAGTTGTTAGCATAGTCACATATTTGTGCATGTTACCACAGTTGACTTTTGAACACTGTCATTGTTTCAGAAAGAAACCATTTTTGCTTAGTCATTAACTCCCAGTTCTCTCTGGACCCAGGCAGTCACTGGTATACTGTCTGTATGTATGTGTTTTCTGTATACTCTGTATACATGGAATCATACAACGTAGTCCTTTGAATCTAGTATCTCTGAACAGAGTGTTTTCAAGTTTCGTCCACATAGTAGCACATACTGTCTCCTTTCTTTTTATGGTCAAAATATGGATAATATCAGATTTTACTTATGTGATCATTACTTGATGGACATTTGTTGGTCTACTTTTTTGGATGTTGTGAGTAATGCTGCCCTGAACATCCTTGCCCAAGTTTTTGTGTGTATATTTGTTTTTCATTTATTTTGAGTAGAATTGCTGGCTAAAATGGTACCTGTATGCTTGGTCTTTTGAAGGACTGCCAGATTGATTTCCAGCTTGGCTGCGTTGTTTATCTTATAACTAGCAAAGTATGAGCTCCTGTTTCTCCATATTCTTGTCAGTACATGTCAGACTCTTCTTTTAAAAAATTACAGACATACATGTAGATATAAAGCAGTATCTTGTGGTTTTGAGTTACAGTTCCTCAGTGGTTAATTATTGATGATGAGCATCTTTCATGTGTTTAGTGGCCATTTGTGTATCTAGTTGGGAAAAGTTTTCAGATCCTTTATCCATTTTTAAAATTGGATTACTTCAAAAATTTCTTAAGATTTCCTTACATATTCCAGATAAAAGTTGTTTATCAGAGATATGATTTGAAAGTACTTTTTCCTATTTTGTGAAAGTTTTACTTGTCTGCTGGTGACCTGGGAAACATTAACATTTTTAATTTTGATAAATTCCAATAACATTTTCTTTTGCTGCTTGTGCTTTTTGATGTCATAGCTAAGAATTTTGCTAAATCTAAAGTCATGAAGATTTATGCCTAGTTTTTTTGGTTAGAGTTTCATAATTTTGCTCTTCCATGTAGGTGCATGGTCCACTTTGAGCTGGGTGCATGGTATAAGGAAGGAGTCCAGCCTCGTTCTTTTGCATGTGATTATTCTTTCCTAAGTACTCTTTGTTGGACCAACCTTGTTTTACCAACCTTGTTTTAAAAAATACATTTTTGTATTTTATATTTATGTTAGAATTTTGTTTTTTTACCTTTTAAGGAAAATTTCAAAAATGTTTCAAATTCCTGTGGAAAATCTTGACAACATCAGAAAGGTGCGGAAAAGGGTGAAAAGCATTCTTATGAACATCGGACTGGACAGCTGCCGGGAGTTACTGAAGGTAAGAGGATATAAAAACAGATGAAGAAAGTGGTAGTAGAAATTCTAGTTTGGACCTGTGGAGTTGTATTTGAAGAGTTTTTAAAGAACAGTAAGATTCCTCAAGGTGGGAGTTGCTAATAGCTCAGGTGGCTGTGTGAAAACATTTTCAGCACTTGTGCCTTTCTAAGAATGAACTATTTAAGCTGTTCAAGTTTTAAAAACCACCTTTAAGAGATAGTTTTTATGTTCATTAGTGATAAAAAATACAGTATTTTCTTTTGATATTTGAGGGCAGTGTGTTGAAATTATTGTTATAGCAAAAGAAGACTGCAACTTAGTGTTCTAGTATAGTTGGAGTAATAAATGGGCATGCACATGTAATATGATAGATTTTTTCTATTGATTTATGAACTTATGTGTGTAGTCTTACAGAAGTTGAAAATGAAGGTCACTGTCACATTTGATTTTTTTCTTATAATTCTATCCATATACTATTGAGAATATATGGTTGGCAAATAGTTTAATTTCGTGTCTGTAGAAATAGGGTCAGTATTTGTTTTGAAGTTTTAAAAATTTGTAAAGAATTTGGTTCAGATTACTTAGGAAGAGCTCAGTTTCCTAATCTTCAAATTTTGGACTTTCAACCAGAGTTTTACTTACAAAAAGATAGATATTGAAAGATTCATGGTTACCAGGATTCCCATCAGTGGTCAGTGTTAATCTTTGCTGTCAGGTAGATAAGTACTATTAATTTCAGGAGACAGTCCCATATAGGTCTCTGCTCAGATACTCTCTTCTGTGGGAAATCTTCATTGTAAAATACTGCATTTCCCCTTATACTTCTTGCTTTATGCCTTCCTTTACTTTTTTCAGAGCATTTATACTGCCTGATATTATTTGTTCGTTATTGTTTCCATTTGAATGTGTGGAGGGCAAAAATCTCATTGTATTGTTATCCACTGTTCTGCTTGCAGTCAGAGTAGAGTCTGACACTTGGATGCTTTACAGATATTTTTGCTATGAGTGAATAGAAGTGAAATTGAAATAGGGAAACATTTTAAATTACAAAGCATGATCAAAACTTCACTTGGGAAGTATAAGGATAGGAGGATTCCTGAAAGTAGGAGTGTTTGGGTTGAATCTGTTGTTAAAGAACAGTCCAAAAGTAAGAAAACGTTTGAAGATAATGTGTGTGCAAAGAAAGCAGGGTAATTATTTGGAGCCACAACTGAAAAGGGGTATTTGCTGAGCGAGTTGAGGGAGAGCACAAGACCATCAAGAATAGTGTGATTAAGTGATATTTCAGGACATTGTAGACTTGAATATCTGAGAACACAAATGTGTATTGGTCCCCTGCCAGTGAAGCCAAATATGTAACAAAATTGGCCATTTTAATGCCAACCAGTTAACCTCTTGCCTTCCCTACTGCCCTTTCTTCCTCTCTGTCTTTTGATGTGAGCTCTTGCTTTGTTGCCAGGCTGGCCTCAAGCTCCCATGCTCAAGTATTCCTTCTGCCTCAGCCTCCTGAATATCTGGGACTATAGACATGCATCACTGTACCTTGCTTCCACTTGAGCCATTTTTAAGTATTGTTAAGTATTTTAAGTATTAAAAGCGTTATTGTAGCCACAGTGTTTTACAGCCATCGCCAATTGTATTTCTAAAATTTTTCATTATCTCAAGTAGAAACTGTAACCGTTAAGGAATGAGTTCCTACTTCCTTAGTTCTGGGTAACTTCTAAACTGTTTGTCTCAGATTTGCCTGCTGGCAGTACTCCATATAAGTGGTGTCACATATGTTGGTCCTTTTGTGTCTGGCTTATGTTACTTGGCACATGTAGGAAGTATCAAAATGTTCTTTATGGCTTGGTAATATTCCATTGTTTGATTATACCACATTGTGATACCATTTTAATTGCCATTGGGCATTTGGATTAATTCTACCTTTTGACTGTGAACTTTTGTTGAAGTATATTTTTAAGTGTCTATTCTCAGTTATTTACTGAGGAATGAAATGTTGGCTCAGATAGTAAATTTTTTTAGGAACTTTTATACTCTGTGAAGGTGTATCATTTTACATTCCTACCAGCAACCTGCAAGAATTCCAGTTTATCCATATCATAGCCGACCCTTGTCACTTATAGCCTGTCTTCTTCTTTCTTGCCTTCCTCTTTCTTTTCAGTTTTCTTTTTCTCTTTCCCTTGTTGTCACCCTAATGGCTGTGAGCTGGTATCTGATGGTGATTTTGAATTGTATTTTTTTAAAAGACAAATGATACATAGCATCTTTTCATGTGGTTTCTGATCATGTAGGTACTCAATTATAACTTTCAGCTAGATAATCTTTTTAGTTTGTCAGTTTTTGCTTTCTGAACTTCAGAACTTTTCAGGGTGCATGCATACACATTATGATTAATTGTTCAATTTGACCCCTTTTTCATTATTGAAGTAACTTTCTGTACTTTTTAAAAAAGTTTTTTATCTTTTTTTTAAAGAGAACAAAACAAAATAGAATAAAGCAAATGAGAACAGAGCAATGCAAACAGCACAGTACTTCACAAGACAACAGGAAATCAACAGTGGCTACTATAATGTCTTGTTTTCTTCGAAATAGTTGTCCTTACCTTCACACACAATAGTATCAAACATAACAAAATAGTATAAAACCAATCAAAAGAATGAAAGCATTATGGAATTTGAAAACCAGATAACAGGAAATGAACAGTGGTTACTATAATGTCTCATTTTCTTCAAAACAGTTGTCCATACTATTTCACATAATAAAATCAAACACAACAGAATAAAACCAATCAAAACAAAAAAAACAGCATTTTAGGGCTTCAACACAAGAAGACAGGAAATAAGCAGTGGTTACCATAATGTCTAGTTTTCTTCAAAATAGTTGCTCATACCATTCCACATAATAAAATTGAAAAAAAGAAAACAGAATAAAAGCAATTAAGTCAATGAAAGCATTATAGGACTTCAAAACAAGATAATAGGAGACCAACCATTATTACCATAATACATTCATCCCATTATGTTCAAAAGAGCTGCCCATACCATTAGAGATAGTAAAATCTGTCAATATAGAGCAAAACTAAACTTAACAAAATTTTCAAAGCAGTACAAGAGTTCAAGACAAGACAGTGCAGTGATTACCACCTTCCCCTCCTAGGTGTTTATTCCCCTATCACTTTTACAATATCTATTGTGCTTTTTTTTTTTTTTTTTTGATAGAGGAGAGCAAACTCACAATTTTTTGCTTGCTAGGCAGGTGTTTGAGCAGTTGAGCTAAATCTTTGGTTCTGCTGTGCTTTTTGGATCCCATTAACTCATTCTGTTTTTTTATGCTAGGGTTCACTCCTATGAGTTCCAACTATTTTGCCCATGAACATGATCTGCAGTTGCATCCATTTACCTACAAGAGCTCAAGATTGTTCTACTTTATAGCTAGGTAGCTTTCCATTGTATGAAGATACTGTATCTTTGTTATGTGTTCTGTGGTTGATGGGCAAGTTGCCATTGCTTTTTTCTGGTCTTCTGTCACATGGAAAATTGTTTCTCTCCTTTGATTTTCAGTCTGTGAATTTCCTTTTGAGTTATATGTATTTCTTGTATACATATATTGATGGATCTTATTTCTTGATCCACTTTCTCTGTTTCTTTTTATTGCTGAATTGAAGCCATCTACATCAATGGTTACACCAGCATACATTGGTTTGTCTCTGCCCTGCTATTTTCCTGCTGTTTGCTGTTGGCTGTCCATTTTCCCCTTCATTCAATTTTCCGTCCTGTTTGGTGATGTTCCTCTGCTGCTGTTCCTGGAACCATAATCATCTTAATCTTTCTCTAAAATATCCTTTAGCACTCACTGTAGGGTTGGTTTGGTGGCCATGAATTCCTTCAGTTCGTTCTCATGGAAATATATTATTTTTCCATACATTTTGAAGGATAGTTTTGCAGGGTACATCAATGTGGGTTGGAAGTTGCTTTTTGTTTTCAGGATTTGAAACACTTCACTCCAAACTGTTCTTGACTTGCTGGTTTGTGTTGGTAAGTCTGCCATGATTCTGATTGGTTTTCCTTTATAGGTGATCTGTTTCTTTTCTCTTAACAGCTTTTAATATTCTGTTCTTGTGCTGAATTTCTGGGATCTTGATTATTACATGTGTGGGCAAAGATTTATTTTGGTTAAGGGTAGTTTGAGTTCTATATGCCTCGTTTATCTGCATGACAGATCCTTTTTCTGTAAGTATCCTTTTTATTTCATTTGTGTTGACCCTTGCTTCTTCACCTACACCTATTACTCTTTTTTTTTTTTCACCTATCACTCTTAAGTTATGCTTCTTTGCATTATCTTGGAGCCATTGAGTTGTTAATTTCCTAGATATCTCTTTGAATCTGTTTCATGCACTGTAATTCTTTTCTATATTGTTCATTCAAGGTTTCCATCATTTTCGTGTGCTCCTCTTTTTAATCTATGTTTTCTTTAGATATGCTGAGCAATTCTTTCATTATGTTTTTCATTTCTTTTACCTGAGACATTTCTGATTTGGTTATTTTTACAGTCTCATGAAGTTGTTTCTTTACTTCAGTTGCTATCCTCTCAGAGATTTCAGGTCTGTGACTTCCATTTTCTTCCATGACTGTGTCTCTCAGACTTGTTCTGTGTGGGCTGGAGGTCTGAGATTGCCTTTTGCTTCTTTGTCTTGACATTCTTATGGGTTTTCTCTCAACAAGTTGGTTGTGGGGCCCCAGGCCCTTCTCACTTTGTCAGCTTCTCTGTGGTGTTGGCCAATGGGATAGGCACCTGTGTTCCTTTGACCCTGGGTTTTCAGGGAGGTAGCAGGGCATGGGATGGACTTTTCCAGACGTGTGCAGCTACATTAGGGCTTCCCTAATGGCCAAGGGTACCTGGTTGTGGAGCTGCTCCTCTGACTCCCGCGATGGTGGCAGGTACATAGGGGTGTGTTTGTCTGATTCTCCTAGTGGGTGATGACTGCCCAAAGAAAGCAAG